TGGAGAGCTCGCGTGGAGGGCTCCCTTTTCTGCACTCTTACATTTAGTTTTCTAACACTGCAATGAAGGAAGTGTTAAAGGGGTTTTAAAACGTGTAAAGACAAAGTGACTGAGCTAAGTCAAACTGACAGCTCGTTAACGTCGGGTTATACCTGTCTTATAGGCACTGCACCTTCTCCACTGAGGAAGCCGGAGAGAGTGGAGACGGACCCACCCGGGCCAGAGTGAGCGAGTGGGCCTGGAGCGGTGCAAGCACCTCTGTGGATGGCGTTAAGGACCCCAAACTTCTTGTTGAAAATGACAGCCGAGGTTAAATGACTTCATCTTCTCAATGGTGTGGAGTGGATTATCTGGGAGGCAGGGAGTGGAGACAGTGTGGGGATGAAACAGGGGCAAAGGCATTAGAACATGAAGAAGAGAGGATCGTACGACAGCAGTGACCACTCACCTGCTGTTGGCTGTGCAATGCCCAGCGCACTGAGTGGCACCTGCTGACCAGCTGCTCCCAGAGCTGGGGTCTGGCAGGAGCCTGGAGGAGAATGTGGGTGTAGGCTAAATAAGCAAAGGAAGTGGAGGGGGTTTGGTGAGAACCCCAAGATGGGAGGTGACCTGGCTGAGCCTGTGTAGAATTGGAGAGACATCAGAAATGCCAGTGACTGAGCTTATCAGGTCAAGCCGCTTAACAGAACGTTGGTTTTAACAACGAGGGGCAACTGCCTCCCATTCCTAGTAAACCTGGGTTTGCTTCTCGTGGTCGTTCCTCAGTGTGGACTCCATCCCCAAGCAGGCTGTGCACTCCTGTTCTCAGCACGCCCCCGCGGCTCGCCATCGCCTCCCCCCGCAGGAAAGGGCTTCTTCCTCGATTTCTCACTCAAAGCCTGTGGCCCACAAACCCTGAGTATCTCTAAGAGGAAAGAAGAAGGCGGAAATGCCCAAGGTAAGACAGCAGGGTCACACAAAGCGGGGAGGTGGGCACCCGCTCTGTGGGGGCTGCAGTGACCGGGGCTTTATTCCGGGAGCCAAAAAGCAGGACGGGCCGAAACCGGTTTGGCTCAGCCTGCGGACTGAAAGGTCCCAGGTTCGATTCTGGTCAAGGGCATGTACCTTGGTTGCGGGCACATCCCCAGTGGGGGGTGTGCAAGAGGCAGCTGATCGACGTCTCTCTCACATCGATGTTTCTCTCACATTGATGTTTCTAAATCTCTATCCTCCCTTCCTCTGGCACCGCGCGCCCACTTGCTTCTCGCGGTCCCGCTCGGGTCGGGGACAGACTCCGAGTCACCTCAGGTCTGTGTGCCGGCTGCTCTCCTGGCGGGCGCGGCTGGGTTGACATGGGGGGCGCAGGCGGACCCCTGCTCTGAGCGGGGCGTGGAGGGCCGTGCAGGCGCCGGCGGGAGGCACAGACAGCGCTGTCCTCGTTAGTATAGTGGTGAGTATCCCCGCCTGTCACGCGGGAGACCGGGGTTCGATTCCCCGACGGGGAGGTAGCGAGTCCGTTTTGGAGGCGCCGCGAGGTCCCCCCCACCCCCCTCCTTGGTCCAGGGCACAGGACTCTCACCGTCTGTCCGGGTTCGGTTCCCGGCCAGGCGCTTTTTCTCTCCACGTCCGCGCACCCACCTTTTGGTCAACGCTGGCGGCCTTCTCCCTGAGTCGGGCGCCCCCTCCGTCTAGGGAGCCCCCTTCCCACACCCGGGACCGGCTGCTTCCCCGCTGCGAGCGGGTTCGGAGCCGCGGTGCCCATCGAGGGTGCACGGCCCAGGCGTCGTGTGCGCTCGGAGGACGGCGCCCCCCGCAGGCGATGGGCCCGGCCCGCCCCGCGGCCACGCGCGGAGGAGCTGGGGGGTGCGGGGGGCCGGTAGGGAGGACGGAGAGCGTCCGTCCTCCCTACCGGCCCCCCCGCACCCCCCAGCGCCGCCTCCTGCAGGGCCCCTCCGCGCCCACACCAGGTGCGCCCGCCGAGGGGCCTCCGCCCCGCCCCCCGCTTTCCTGCCCGCGCGCCCTGGCTCGCCAGCGCCCTCCCCGTCGGCGACGGAGCCCGACCTCTGTCCACGCGCTGCTGCTCCGGTCGCCCGCGCACACGCACCCCGACCCCGCGCACACGCACCCCGTCTGCGCGGAGCCCTGTCGCGGAGGCAATCACGGCGCTGCGGTCCCCGCAGGCGTCCCCCCGGGTGGGTGAGGGTGAGGAGTCAGGGGGTGCTGGGGTGGAAGGGGGCGGCTAGTGCTCCTGGGGGCGAGGGGCTGGGCCGTGCTGTGGTGGAGGCCGTGCTGGGCCAGAGGGGGGTTTGGGGGGCCGCCTCCGGTGGGAGGCCCCTGGCTGGGGCTGTGCGTGGGGACAGGACCGCTCGCTCCGCACCCGTGACCCTCCCGGAAGGTGCTGCCCACCGCGCACGGGAGCTGGGGGCGGGGCGGGGGAGCAGGGGTTCTGGCAGCGGGGCCGGGCTCTAGCGGGGCTTGGAAGGCGACAGGGAGTGCTGGGCGCGGGAGGGGCTGAGCAGTCCAGATGTCGGGCTTGGAGTTCAGCTCCCGGGTCCAGTGGGTCCCCTGTTGCAGCCACAGGAGAGGTGTGTGGGGCGGCCCGTGAGGACAGGCGTCTTCAGGGGCAGCCTGAGCCGGAAGCTGGATGTCCCGCTTACAGACCCAAAATGGACGGTGGATTGCAGAGGCTGGGAACGGAGTCCGGGCCTCCCGAGTGGCACGCAAGACCCCTACACTGAGCCGCTCGGCGCTAACAGCTGCCATAGATAGGCCGGCCACTGCTCCCCCCGTGGCACCTGCTCCCCCTTGTGGCACCGGCTCCCCCCCTGTGGCACTGGCTCCTCCCGTGGCACCGGTTCCGTTTGTGCAGGAGACAGAGGCAGGACCTGAAACAGAGAGGCCAGGCAGTCAGAGGTTTAGGGCACAGCACAGAGACAGTGGGACAGAGGAATTGGGCGAACTTGCCAGCTCATCCTCCATTTTCTCCATCGCTCAGGGGTGCTCTGCAAGACTGTCAGTGTCTGCTTGCTTCAGCAGCACATCCTATATAATAAAGAGGGAATATGCAAATTGACCGTCACTCTGCCACAAAAGATGGCTGCCCCCACAGCGGAGGCCTAGTTCCCAAAATGAGCCTTAATTAGCAATCAGCAGCGACCTGAGACTGCACCCCCCCACCCCTGTGGGGCTTGACGGGCGACCTCAGGCCATGCCCCCCACCAGGTGGGGTTTGATGGGGGATCTCAGGTCACATGCCCTGCCAGGTGGTGCTTAATGGGGGTGGGTCCGGCTGGGTCTGGAATTTGCACAATTTTGAGGCACTTTGGGTGGGCAGGGACTTGACTCTGGGTCCCACCGTGCACTCCAGACGCTGACAGGAGGAAGGTTTTCATATACATTTTACTAATTTTCTTTCATCTCTGACACTTCTATTATAGAGAAAGGGCAAATAGCAATATTAAAATATTTCCTCTAATCCCTTTTTATTTAAAATATTGGGTCGGCAACTAAGTACTTGCGGGTTTCACACATATATGGCTTCAGTTGAATTTTTAGGTTGGCAGACGTAGTACAAATGTAAAACACATTTTGTTATTTGATAGTTGGCTATTCAGCTGTTAATCAGTAAAAAAAGTTTTTTGATCTGTTTTGTAGTTTTCGTTTGGCGTTCGTTGAAAAATGGAAAATCAAAAGGAACATTTTCGTCATATTTTGCTTTTTTATTTCTGCAAAGGGAAAAACGCATCGCAAGCTCATAAAAAGTTATGTGCTGTTTATGGTGACGAAGCCTTAAAAGAACGGCAGTGTCAAAATTGGTTTGCCAAATTTCGTTCTGGTGATTTTTCACTCAAAGATGAAAAACGCTCTGGTCGTCCAGTTGAAGTTGATGAAGCCCTAATCAAAGCAATAATCAATTCGGACTGTCACAGTACAACACGTGAGATTGCAGAGAAGCTTCATGTATCACATACATGCATTGAAAATCACTTAAAATAACTTGGCTATGTTCAAAAACTCGATACATGGGTTCCTCACGAACTGAAAGAATCACAGTTAACGCAATGCATTAGCAGCTGCGATTTGCTACAGAAACGTAATGAAAATGATCCATTTTTAAAATGACTGATAACTGGCGATGAAAAATGGGTTGTTTACAACAATATCAAGCGGAAAAGATCGTGGAGCAGGCCAGGTGAACCAACTCAAACAACATCAAAAGCTGATATTCATCAAAAGAAGGTTTTGTTATCAGTTTGGTGGGATTACAAAGAAATTGTCTACTTTGAACTCTTACCACCCAACCAAACGATCAATTCTGATGTCTACATTGAACAAATAACGAAATTAAACAATGCAGTTGAAGAAAAGTGGCCCGAATTGACAAATCGAAAAGGTGTTGTATTCCATCATGACAATGCAAGGCCACACACATCTTTGGTCACTCGGCAAAAATTAATGGAGCTTGGTTGGGATGTTTTGCCACATCCACCATATAGTCCTGACCTTGCACCATCTGATTACTTTTTGTTTCGATCTTTACAAAACTCCTTGAATGGTAAAAATTTCAATAATGATGATGATGTCAAATCGTACCTAATTCAGTTTTTTGCTAATAAAAACCAGAAGTTTTTTGAACGTGGGATTATGATGCTGCCTGAAAGATGGCAAAAGGTCATTGATCAAAATGGGCAATACATTAAAGAATAAAGTTATTTAGTTCCATGAAAAAATTGTCTTTGATTTTCTTTAAAAAATCCGCAATTACTTATTTGCCTACCCAATATATTTTATTGATTTTTATACAGAGAGAAAGGGAGAGAGATAGAGAGTTAGAAACATCGATGAGAGAGAAAATCATCAATCAGCTGCCTCTTGCACACCCCCTACTGGGGATATGCCCACAACCAAGGTACATGCCCTTGACCAGAATCGAACCCAGGACCCTTCAGTCCCCAAGCTGACGCTCTATCCATTGAGCCAAACTGGTCCCGGCTCTAATACCTTTTTAATGTGCGTGAATTTCATGCACCTGGCCACTACTATACTAAAATTGGAAAGATACAGAGAAGATTAGCATGGTCCCTGGGACAAGGATGACATGCAAATTCATGAAGCATTAAAATGAATAAATGGCCGAGACCGGTTTGGCTCAGTGGATAGAGCATCGGCCTGCATACTGAAGGGTCCTGGGTTCGATTCCGGTCAAGAGTATGTACCTTGGTTGCGGGCACATCCCCAGTGGGGGGTGTGCAGGAGGCGGCTGGTCGATGTTTCTCTCTCATCGACGTTTCTAGCTCTGTATCCCTCTCAATTCCTCTCTGTGTAAAATCAATAAAATATATATTAAAAAAATAAAAAATAAAATGAATAAATGAATAATAAACTGTCAGTGTCACCAGAGGAGGCCAATAGCGGGACCAAGCTTAGCTGGATCCCGGATCAAAAGCCTGAAACTGGCTGCAAAATGGTTGTCAGGAGTGGGATTCGAACCCACGCCTCCAGGGGAGACTGCGACCTGAACGCAGCGCCTTAGACCGCTCGGCCATCCTGACGGGACATGTGGCAGCGTTGGCGCTCACATGGCTGACACCCAACTGTGGCCTCCCCCCGCGTCTCCGGTCAGGCAGCTGCCGGGTGCCCCATGCCCACGGGGAGCGACCGGCCTGGCTGGGCGGCCGCGGCCTCTCGCCCTTCCTGGGCCCGGGCACGCTGCGCGCCAACTGGCTCGGCTTCGGGCCCCATTCGCCCTCTTGGGCCTCCTCCTCTTGGGCAGCGCGCACTCGGGGATTCCGTGCCTCCGTGTGGGTGTGGGGCGGGGACAGGCCCTGATCAGTCCTGCTCTGTGGGCGGCGCTGTTGGTTTGAAGTCCGGTCGGGGACTACCGGGCTGCACTGGGCAAGGTAAAGGGGCGAGGGCGGGGGGTGGGGGGTAGGAACTATGTGCCGTCCTGTTAGTGTAGTGGTGAGTATCCCGCCTGTCACGCGGGAGACCGGGCATCCGGACGGGGAGGCGTGTCCTTTTTGGTCGTTGGTAGCTTGCCGACGAGAGTCCCTCTTTTCGCTCCTTCGCCCTGCGTCGAGACTCAGTTGGTGGTGCCGGGTGTTCCCCAACAATCCCTCTCCCCACTTTTCCTCCCGCCACCGCAGCGTCTATGAGCGGCCCTCCCCAAGCGGCTGGTGGAGGGGGAGCGCAGCTGCGGGCGGAGGAGGCCGCCCAGTCTGCGCGCGCGGTGCCGCCCAGTGGAGTGGGTTTGGTGACCCCCGGCTGGAGACACGACCTGGGGGCAGCGGCATGGAATCGGAGGGACCAGGAGCAGTTGGCCAGCGAGAGCGTCCGGAGAGGCAGTCGGATCGACAAATTAGAGCAGCTGCTTGGGGCTGGCTCTGTTGGCAGCGGCAAGCCCCTGCGCTGGTACCAGTTAGGACTAGAGATTCTGAAGCGCTTTGCCGCCGCAGCGTTGGTGGTATAGTGGTGAGCATAGCTGCCTTCCAAGCAGTTGACCCGGGTTCGATTCCCGGCCAACGCAGCGATGCAGTGCTTTTGCCTCATGCACCTGCGAGGGGTGTTGGACTCAGGACCCACGATCTGGGCCGTGTGAGCGCCAGGAGGAGCGGGTAGTTTTTGGAAGGTGCACAGGCAGGAAGTGGGCAAGGGCATGTGTGGGTAGGGGAGAGAGGAAGTCTATACTTAGAAAAGCAAGGAAAACTGGAACTGTGGAAGCTCCACGTAGCTGGCCCAGAAGTGTTTTAATACATGAGACACTTGCTCACACCCTAGTTCCCTGGTCCCTGGTGGTCTAGTGGTTAGGATTCGGCGCTCTCACCGCCGCGGCCCGGGTTCGATTCCCGGGCAGGGAAAGTTTTCTTCTGCCTCTCCAGCAAGACCTCACTCATCTTAGGCAAAGTGCCCGGGTTCGATTCCCGGTCAGGGAAAGTTTTCTTCTGCCTCTCCAGCAAGACCTCACTCATCTTAGGCAAAGTGCTCTGCCTCTCCCCCGCCCGCGGCAACCTGGCTTCCTGCACGTTGGGTGTTAATGGTGGAGCAGCGGCCCACTGCTTGAAAAGAGAACGCGGGGAATTCGGTGAGATGAGACTGGAGTTATTTTCCACCTACTTGTGCGCCATGTTGACTTGTGATCTTACAGGAGGGCGCGATGTCTCCATCTCCCAAGAGTGGCTCAGGTAGTTTTGCCAGCGTAGGGTGGGAGAGAGCTAGAGCGTGATGAATAGTCAAGGGGAGTGCGCAAGTGCCAGCCATGTGCAGCGGCACTCGCATTGCTTTGTAGTGAATGGCGTGACTCAAACGGTATCTGGTTGGTGAGGAGAGACCAGGGAGGTATCGGGCGTGGAGGCTTGGCTCTGTAGTCTCATTGCAAGGGATATGGCAGTCCGCAGGTGCACGGGAACAGACCGGTGGGACCAAAAGAAAAACTAGCTGCATGGGCCGGGAATCGAACCCGGGCCTCCCGCGTGGCAGGCGAGAATTCTACCACTGAACCACCCATGCACCAGTGGGAGTAGTACCAGGCGCCACACTAACACCTGCTGCTTTTGAGCAGGCGGCAGTCCTGACCTAAAACCGAGGCCGCAGGCACGTCTATGACCCCTGCGCGCGGCCCAATCAAGGACCAAGAGACCAAGGCAGACTCTGCCGGCCAATGCTGTGTGTTCGTAGTGGTCCAGGCTGAGAACACACAGCATTGTCACCAGAGGAGGCCAGGAGCGGGACCAAGCCTGGCTCCTGCTCAGATCCCAGCCCCGGCAGGTGACGTGTGGAGGGAATAGCTGAGCGCCTCTACGGCGTCTGGGTTTTCTGCCTATTTGTGGTGCAGGTTGGGAGTGGGCGATGTATCGAGGGTGTAAGGTGGAGGCCAGAGTTTGCAGTGCCCCAAGGGTGCTAGTCAGGACCAGCTGCAAGGAGGGAAAAAGCTGCGATGGATATAATGCGGCCGGGGAACCTCGTGCAAAAGTTTAAACAGCTGTCAGGAGTGGGATTCGAACCCACGCCTCCAGGGGAGACTGCGACCTGAACGCAGCACCTTAGACCGCTCCGAGCTGTGTTGGCGCTCACATGGCTGACACCCAACTGTGACCCCCCCTGAGGCCTCCTCCCACGTCTCTCCGGTCAGGCGGCTGTCGGGTGCCCAGTGGACGGCCGCCAACGGGGAGCCAGCGCAGGCGACCGGCCTGGCTGGGCGGCCCATGGACTCTCGCCCTTCCTGGGCCCGGGCACGCTGCGCGCCAACCGGCTTGTCTTCGGGGCGCATTCGCCCTCTTGGGCCTCCTCCTCTTGGGCAGCCCCGCGTTGGAGGCCACGGGCAGCGCGCCCTCGGAGGTCAGTGCCTCCGTGCGGGTGTGGGGCGGGGACAGGGTGCGCTCACCGGCTGCTTCGTTGGGAGCCGCAGGTTTTCAGGTGGAGCTTCCACAGCAGCAGGGCGGCGAGGGCAGGGGTAGGCGTGAGCCTTACCACGGGCGGACCTGAGGGGCGCCCCTGCCGTCCTCGTTAGTATAGTGGTGAGTATCCCCGCCTGTCACGCGGGAGACCGGGGTTCAATTCCCCGACGGGGAGGTGGAGCTTTTTTGTGCTCACTGGCGCAGGTTGTTGGAGACGAGGCCCTTTCAGCGGATTCCTGACTGACACCCTTGGGGCCCTGCAAACTCCGGCCTCCACCTTACACACTCGGTTCACCGCCCCCTCCCAGCCAGGCCTCCCGACCCCCAGCTCCGGCCCACCGGCGCCATAAGTGCGGCGGGAACGGACTGGCGACGTGAGCACAGCTGGGCTGCTGCTGAGGGGCCGGGAGCCCCGTCGGTGCGGGCAGAGTCACCGGCGGAGAAGGGCTTTGGGAACCAGGGCGCTGGAGGCGCTGCGGCGAGGAACCCTGGGACCAGGAGCAGCGGGCAGCGAGGGGCCGGGCGGCGGCCGGGCCTGCGGAGGAGAGCGCTGTGTGGGCCCAGCTGCTTGCATTCCTCGCTCCATTCCGCCCGCAGCTGAGCGCGGGACCTGGGGCTGCACCCGGGTCGTGGGCCTCCAGGGAGCGGGGCTGGCAGTTGCTGAGGGTGCGGCGGGGCGGGCACGATGGGCCGGGCGCTGGGCGGCTGCCCTGGGAAAGGCAGAGGCGTGGCGACTCGAGGGGCAGGAGGCGCAGGCCAGGCGCTCCGCTCGCCGCTCCCTGGTGGTCTAGTGGTTAGGATTCGGCGCTCTCACCGCCGCGGCCCGGGTTCGATTCCCGGTCAGGGAAGCTTCTTCTTGGTCCACAGCGAGCCCGCGTCCCATTCACCTTTTAGCCAACGGTAGCCGCCCCCTTTTCCCGCCTCCCTGCACGTCTGGGCCCAACCTGCCAGGCTACGCCTCCATCCCAACCCTCTGCCCGCCTCGCCGCGGGACGCCTGTGGCCTTTCCCCTCCGTCTGGGGAGCTCACCCTGGTCCCGCCCGCAGCCCGGGCCGACCCCCCGCCTGCCAGAGGGTCCGGACCGGTGGAAAGGGCTCGGACGCCCGCGTCACCGGGCCCTGCCCGGCGGGTGGCGCTGGAGGCGGTCGCTCAGCCTCTCCCGGAGGACGCGCCTCGCCGCCCGCCCGCTCCCGGGGGGAGCTCCCGCCCTCAGCCGCCCGGCTCGGCGCCGGCGGCGGGCGTGCTCCGTCCGGGACGCGGGCTTGATCTTTCCGTGGGGCCTGTGCTCTGGTTCCTGGAGTTGTTGCCCCTCCCGGGGCTTCTCCCCACAGGACGCTCCTGTGAGCACAACTGGCCGTGCCGGTCCGCTCCATCCTGCCGCCACCTCGGCCCGGCTCGGCCCCTCCCGCCGCCCAGGGCCTGGCCCGCTAACCTGTGGGTGGATTTAGGTTCCTCTCAGCAAAGCGGGCCTTTGCGGTCTTCATTCCTGTGGTGGCAGGTTTCCTCCCCGCTGTGGCCCAGCATACAGATGTAGTTTTGGCATCTTCACCTGTGCCCTGTCCTGTTCCATGTAATTTGGACCACCCTGATTTCCAGTGAGTGGTGTGAATGCTAACCTTTCCAAATATTTCACTATCTATATCTATATCTATATCTATATCTATATCTATATCTATCTCTATATCTCTATATCTCTATATCTCTATATCTCTATATCTCTATATCTCTATATATC